GGATTGAAATGAAGCTACAGAACGTGCAGCCGGAAGAGAGGGCCAAGGCCAGGGCTGGAGCATAGAGGGGTCGGGGCCCCTACAGTGCCCGACTGTGCCCAGGCCCGGGCAGTCGCGAGCTCCTTCGACCCCTCCCTCTGTTCCCCACCTTGCAGTCTCTGGTCCAGGGCGGCCTGCCTGGCAGCGGTGTGCCCAGCGAGTTGCCCCAGCTGATACCCGTGTTCCCCGGCGGGACCCCGCTGCTGCCGCCCGTGGTGGGTGGCTCTATCCCTGTCTCCAGCCCACTGCCCCCTGCCTCTTTTGGCCTCGTCATGGACCCCTCCAAGAAGCTGGCTGCTTCTGTGCTGGATGCCCTCGACCCCCCAGGCTCCGCCCTGGACTCCCTGGACCTGCTGCCGTACTCCGAGACCCGACTGGACGCCCTGGACAGCTTCGGGCCAACCCGGGGCTCCCTGGACAAGCCCAGCTCCTTCATGGGTGAGGCCTGGCTGGGCACAGTCACCCCCCACCCCCTTGACAGTTCTCAAAGTGCCGTCCCCTCTCCAGATACGGGAGTTGAGAATTACAGCTCTGTTTTGCCAAAGCCCAGGTCCGTGCACCTGTTACAGCCCAAGGCCACATCTTCTGAGTTGCTGTGTCTCCTGCAGCACTCGGCACAGTGTGAGGCTGAGGCCTGAGGGCCTGGTGTCTTGTTAAAGATCACACACAGCACTGAGATAGTCCAGGGCTCCAGACCTGCAGTCTGGTGCTGTCTGCCCAGCCTCCCAGGGCCCTGGGGTCGCCAGGCTGGTGGGGTCCCACAGGAATGATCCTGAGGCTGGGGGAAGGGATGCAAGGCCATGGGCTTTAGCACCACTCTGAGGTGGGTGCCACTGGCCTAGTGAGGATACAGGTCTGTTTGGGCCTTTGTGGGACTGGCTTTCCACAGTCAGACCTAGCCCTGGGCACTTGTGGCTCAAGGGAATTCAGCGGGGGCTTCACTCAGCCTCAGGGCCAAGGCAGACTTCCTGGAAGGGGTGATGGCTAAGTGGGGTCTCGAAGAAGGTCATCTGCCAGCAGAGGGAGCAGTACAACCAGCACGACACAGGCCTGCGTGAGGGAGGGAGGGACTGGCAGATGAGCAGAGTAATCACCCAGTCAGGAGGGCGGGTTGGGGGCCTTGGAGGCCTAAGCTGGTCTCAGAGGACCTGTCATCCAAGTTGAGGAGCTTTGATTTTCTTCTGGGGACAGTAGAGGGACAGAAGATGTAGATGTGGGTGGACATGCTCAGGCTAGCCTCTGTCCCTGGCAGTGGCCATGGGGGTAGAGTTAAGGGATCAGAACCAATGGGTGGCTCCTCTGGGTTGGAAATATGGAGGAAAAATTCCTTGGAGGGCTCCTCATCCCCTTTAGACCAGGGCAATGATCCCCCGTGTCTTCTCCTTGCCCAGAAGATGCCAACTCACAGGACCATCGTCCCCTAAGCAGTACTCAGAAACCAGCCCCCTCGGTGAGTGACTTGGCGAGGATCAGTGACCCAGCATCTCATGCCCTCCTTGGGGGTGGAGGGCAAGTGGTCGTGGGCTCCAGAGTGGGGTGAGCCCTCTGCCTGGGACAAGGGGCTACAGCCCCCAAGGAGGGGCCCCCTCAGCAGACCGACCAGAGATGGTCTCGCCTAGCCCTTCCGAACCAAGCTCTGTGCAGGGAGGGTGAGCAGGGGTGTGACGGAAGAGCACATCGAGGCTCAGAGGGGCTAAGTAACTTCTCCGGGGTTAGCAGCATCTCTGGTCTCGGTACTCGGCCAGGTTCTGAGTGCAGGCAAGCCCTTGGCCTGGAGTTGGGCAGTCTGAACTCAGGCCTCAGCCTGGACGGCTGCTGTGTGGCCCCAGGAAAGTCGCCAAACCTCTCTGGGTCTTGCCTTCTAACCCACGTGTTGATGCCACGTGGCCTTGGGAGATGGAGGCTGTGGGTGGACAAAGTCCTGTTTCTCTGCTTTCATGTTGGGCTTTCACTCAAGGAACGGTCTGGGCCAAGATCACTGTCACCTATGCACTCCCACTAGGTCGGTCCAGTCCTTATGTTCTGGATTCATGGACCACGTTACAAGGAGCTCCCTGCTGGGAGGGTAGAGGAAGTGGGAGGATCTTGGGCTACAGTTCTGCTTTAGGGTGGTATGCGGGGGGTCATAGAGCCCCCCACCTCCAGTGCCCGGGCTGGCCTCAGTGGCTCCAGCCATCGTCCAGCGCCCAAGATGGCCAACTTCCTCCTGTCACAGCCAGAGCCCTCCATGCCCAATACCGCCTTGCTCATCAAGAATCCCTTGGCTGCCACCCATGAGTTCAAGCAGGCCTGCCAGCTCTGCTACCCCAAAACAGGTAATGTCCCGCCTTCGTACTCCACCCCTCTGCCCAGAGATGCCGGGCATCCATGGGCGTAGAATCCCAGAATGACAGAATCCTAGCGTGTCAGTCAGAGATGAGTACAGGAAACAGGAATCTGTCCAGGCATTTAGAGCCAACAGAGATATAACATGGGTTTGGGGGCTTTCAGAAGTGCTAGAAAGACTGGAAGACACGGAGTGGGGACCTGCCGGTGCTGCCGGCCAGTGTGGCTGCCTGCCCACAGCCCAGAGCCCCGGTACTTGGCCGTGGGGTGCAGAGTCCAGCTGGCTGCTGCAAAAACAGACAGCTCGTTGCTGTTGTCCACTCCCTGCAATGCTTCTCCCCACACCCCTCGCCCCAGCACGTCTGGGTCATCCCACGAGAGCGCCCATGGACCTGTGGGGATGGGGAGCAGGGTGCCGTCTTGTTGGATGCCTTGCCCATGATGAAGTTCTTTGCATGGACCTTAGACTGCCTCCCCAAGCCACGTGCCCGCTGCCCTGGTACTGGGGAAGCCGACTAAGGCCCCAGAAGTTGGCGCTGACAGCCAGATCACATGGGGTCTCCACAAAGGCCATTTCCTCTTTGTGTCTTTGAGGGGGTCCCCCCACCCCATTGTTTGGGGAGAGAAGACCCTTGGTCAGGATATTCGAGAGGGCCAGGGAGAGAAGCAGCAGGAGAGGGAGGATGAATCAGGGCGAAGCCATTCCGTGCGGGAAAAGAAAGGGGTGGGCACTTGTGGGGTCTGCACTCTTTCTGGCCCTGGCTCACTAGAGAGTCAGGGTGGTGGTAGAGAGGGGGCGGGTGTGAGAAGGGGCTCCTTGAGGGGCCTCCCCTCAATCCGGGCCCCCATCTCCAGGGAGAATATGGCAGAGAGAGGTATGGAGGGAGGCCCAGGTGAAGGAGGTAGGATTTTAGGCAGGGATGCTGATTCCCACTGCCTGAGTCCATCAGCCATCACCCTTCAGTTCTGCTTCTGGAATTATAGTCCCTGTTCCCTCTGCACCCACAGGCCCCAGAGCGGGTGACTACACCTACCGAGAGGGCCTTGAGCACAAATGCAAGCGTGACATCCTGCTCGGCCGGCTCCGCAGCTCGGAGGACCAGACCTGGAAGCGGATCCGGCCCCGGCCCACCAAGACCAGCTTCGTGGGCTCTTACTACCTGTGCAAAGGTGGGTGGGCTGCGGCAGGGGCGGCCACATAGCCAGACCCTTGCTCTTCTGCCCGGCTGCTACTCCGCTCTGCATCGCAGGTAGGCAGGTAGACTGGACAGGTGTGGTCTATTGAGGTCGAATGCCACATCAAAACGAGCATCTCCCACTCTGACCAGCTCCACAGACAGGTGGGAACATTGAGACGTGACACGGGAGCTGGTGGCCTGTGCTCCCAAGGGTGAGAGTCAGACAGTACCCAGAGAGCTAGCTTTTGTCAGCGCTGCAGGGTCCCACAGGGCTGTCGGAAGGATGTGGACAGAATCCATGTAAAGCATTTGGGACTGGCACGTAGTAAGGGCTCGATACGGGTTAGCTGTTAAAAGTTATTATCGTCACTTCTGGCTCCTGTCAACTTGGTCAGCATTTAATGGACAGTTACCAGGTCCCTTATCTGTTTCCTTCCATTCTCCATCCACTGTCTTGGTGCATTCTCCATGGCAATAATGACAGTCACAATATTGTTAAGCGTTTTATGGTGTCGCCCTTTTGTATGCACCATCACACATCCTCACGGCAACTCTAAGTGAAGAAACGGGCTTGGGGAGCCCTCCCCAGGCTCCGTGGAAGTGGCCCACCTGGGCTTTCCAAACCAGCTCACTGTCCTCCCTGCAGGATCTTAAGGACATGTCATTTCTGGACTCAAAGGTCTCTGGCAGCACGCCCTGCCCAGTGTGGATGAAATCCAAAATCTACAAGTGCCCTAACCATTTCCCAAACATGCTGAACCCTGACCCCTTTGTACACGATCTGCCTGTGAACTTGGTTGTCCGCCGCTGCTCCTTCAAGCAGCACCTGCACCCAGGCTCCCCCTGGGTTCAGAGCTGGTTACAGCGCAGGGCGCAGTCTCTGGTGATCTCCATGCACCCAGCCGCTCGCCCTCCTGTGCCTGCAACCCGAGGGCTGGGGCAGGCAGACTTAGAGTAGTGGAGGGAGAAAGAAGGAAGAACAGTTCCCCCTCCAGGCCGCGAGCCTTCGGCCCTCCCAACTACCTGGCCCCCCGAATTTTAGTTATTATCTCGCTTAATTTCATAAGAATCCAGTGTTTACCTTTTATGGGCAGACAGCTGAGGTTTGGGATAACAGAGTCCCGGTCCAGTCAGCCGGACTCCAAAGCCCAGGCCCTCACCAGTGGCATTTTTCCATACGGTGGTGGAGCCAACCGAGGGCCACGCTTTGCAGATGAAGATGCCAGTCCCCACCCCACCACCACCCAGGTGTCGAGATAAAGGGGGTCTGGCCTGGCAGGGGTTCCGTCGCACTTCTCCTCCCAAGTCCCCTTGGTCAGCAGGCCACCCCCCCTGGTGTGGGAGATGAGCCCAGGCCCCACCCGTGGCTGCTGCCCCACCCCAAGCCACAGCAGTGGTCGCGGGGGCACTGCGGGCTGCCGTCCCGCCTGGCAGAACGTGTATCCTGTTGCCTCTTTGCAGACATGATTAACAAGCAGGACTGTAAGTACGGGGATAACTGCACCTTCGCCTACCATCAGGAGGAGATCGACGTGTGGACGGAGGAGCGGAAGGGCACCCTCAACCGTGACCTGCTCTTTGACCCGCTGGGGGGCGTCAAGCGCGGCAGCCTCACCATCGCCAAGCTCCTTAAGGAGCACCAGGGCATCTTCACTTTCCTCTGTGAGGTACCTGCCCACCCGCCCCGCCCGCCTGCCGCTCCACGGTCACCGGCCCAGATAGGGCTGGGAGGGGCTGTGGAGTGTCCTGCAACCTGTGCGTTTTGGAGGCAGGACCCTAGAATCAGTAGGTCCTTGGACTGTCAGAAAGGCTCAGAGGACCCTATCGCACTAGAGCCCAGATCCTATCCGGCCCCTTCATTTCGTGGAGGTGGAAACTGAGGCCAAAAAGAAATAATCACACCTGCTTTCTCCGTACGGCCACCCTGGGTCAGGCTTGGCCACCCCACCACACCTTCTCGTCCAGCTGAGCCAGCCTCGGTGCCTGCTGTCCCTCCCTGTCCACTTCCCTACATGTGTCCAGCCTGCGTCCTCTGTGAGAGTCCTCAGACCCTCTGTGGCTCAGCTCTGATCCCAGCGGCTCGGCTCTGATCCCAGCAGCTCCAGCCAGCTGTTGCGAATTCCCTTGCTGGCGCAGGCCCTGCCTCCCCGCCCAGCCGCGGCACGTGAGGGCTCATCTCTGTGGAACGATAGATACCTCTGGTCCGGGTTACTGGCAGGGTTTGCAGCTCAGCCCACCCCTGACCCATCGCACAGTCAGCCCTTCCCCCTGACTCAGCAGGCCAACTCAGGGAGCAGGCGGGCCTGGGGATCACAGCTCCCAGCGGGTGGCTGCATGTACTTTACTAAGCCCTGGCAGTTCTCATATGGTTTCTGAGCTTCGCAGTGACCCTGTGGGGCAGAGCAGGTGTGGTTATGTCAGTTTGCGGTTGAGGAAACTAAGGTTCAGAGGCAAGGAGTAACCCCTGCCCCAGGTGCCTGGAGGGGCGGGATCAGAGAGCCAAGGCCCAGGTCACCTGTGAGCTAGACCCAGAGAGGCAGGGACCACAGACCCCAGGACTCTCTTCCTCACTCCATCAACTCAGGGACTTGGCAAAACCTGCAGGGACCCAGTCTGTCCCTCCTGGGGTGGCTATGCCAGGTCCTAGCAGCCCGCCCCCTCCCCGGACAGATCTGCTTTGACAGTAAGCCCCGGATCATCAGCAAAGGCACCAAGGACTCTCCGTCTGTTTGCTCCAATCTGGCTGCCAAGCACAGCTTCTACAACAACAAGTGAGTGGGACCCGAAGGCCTTTGGGACTCAGACCCAGCGTCCACCGGAAAGGCCAGACTATCCTCCTGGTGTTTTCCTGGTCCCCACAGTCCGATGAGGGCAGAGTTACTGCCTGTGTTGTACAGATGAGGAGGCTGAGGCTTGGAAGTAGCTACTCATTAGGCAGGTGGGAGGCCACATCTCTGACTCCCGTCCGCCACCCTCCACTTGTGACATCGGCATTGGACAGGGAGTGGGAGGGGTCGGGTCAGCCAGGCACCCACCTTTGCTCCTTCTGACCCCCTGGCTCTGCCCCAGTGAGGATGATGGCAGCCAGGCCCTGAAGTCGCAGACCTGGGTCCAAGTCCCAGCCTGGTCAACGGCCTGTTCAGTGACTTCTGGCCACTGTGACCCTTGGTCTCATCATCTATACAGTTGATAATGATCCCAATCACCAAGAGTTGCCATGAGGGTAATTAAAATTCCTGGCCCGGAGAGGAACCTCAGTTTTGATTCTAGGCGCAGAGTCAGTTCTAGAGCATCACACTGGGGAACCAGAGGGAGAGGCCCCTTCTCCCACCCATAGGCACTCCCTTCCCCCAGCCTTGTAGCCCGGGGACCTGGTGCCCTGCTCTTGTGGGCATCTCCATCTTTGAGGTGGCCCTGGATTGAGGCAAGGGGAAGGGCGCACAGCTGGAACGCTAACCCAGGACTCTCCATATGTAAGACCCCTACCTCTCACCGACTGTGCCACCACGTTCTAGAAACAGCTACTAGGACAGGAGGCTCCCGGGGGAAGCCCCTCCCCTCTGGCTTGCTGGCCCTGGGGAGAGGGGCCCTGCCAGGAGTGGTGGGGACGGGCTGGGGGCTGCAGACTGCATTGTACCCCGACCCGCCGCCCTCCAGGTGCCTGGTGCACATCGTCCGCTCCGCCTCCCTCAAGTACTCCAAGATCCGCCAGTTCCAGGAGCACTTCCAGTTTGACGTGTGCCGCCACGAGGTGCGCTACGGCTGCCTGCGGGAGGACAGCTGCCACTTCGCCCACAGCTTCATCGAGCTCAGAGTCTGGCTGCTGCAGCAGTACTCAGGTGGGGGCCGGGCAGGGGCAGGCCGCGGGGCCCGCAGCTGTCTGAGGGTGGATGGGCCGACTGAGGGCAGTCAGGGGGGCACTTCAGGAGTTCTGGGGGCGGGGACTGCCTCTGGAGGAGCGAGTGCTTCTCGGGCATCACAGGACGCAAAGACGGGTCCTCAGGGACCCGTCAGGCTCGGAGGATTCTGGGTTTTTCCCTCTCTGGCCGCTGCCAAGGGGAGCACCGTGGGGAAGGGAGAGGCAGGCAGAGTGGGGCTCCTGCTTCACTGGCTACCTGGGTGGTCGTCAGCAAGTCATGTCCCCTCACTGAGCCTCCACTTACTTATCTGTGAAATGGTGATCATCATCTCCGGGTCAGAGTTGACGGTCAAAGCTATTTACTCACTCATCTCACAAGTATTCTCTGAGCACCTGTTCTGTGTCAGGAGATGGTGACCTCAGAACTGACCTGTGTAAGTGAGGGCAAGGCAGACAGTATAGCAAGTGGGTAATAAATACTGCGTTCCATCCCTTCTAGGACACACATTTCTCCCCACCGCGTGTCATAATTTAATTAGTAGTATTTTGTGTGTGTGTGGAACATAAAATAATGGTGCATCTAACAATCGATGTCATCATAGAGTTAATGAAGTAGCGTGACATGATTCAGATGTGCATCAGTGCCATGAGGAAAGGAGCTCAGCAGGACGGAGGGGGACTCGGGCTGGGGCGTGTGGGTAAGACAGTGGGGAGGCCTCTCTGAGGAGGTGGCGTTTGATCAGGGAAGGGTGGGGAAATCATTCGGACAGAAGAAACAGCAGGGCTGGAGGCCCCAAGGCAGGAACAAGCTTGGTACAGAAAGACTGTTCGTGAGGACAGAGCGGCTTAGTGCTGGGTGGCGGTGGCCAGGCGCAGGGGTGGGGTGGGGGTGCAGTCAAAGGTGAGGCTGCCAAGGTCGGCAGGACCCGAATGTGGACAGAAATAGTTGGGATTGTTCTCAATGCGATGTGCAGGGTCTGGAGGGGTTTCAGCAGGTGGAATCATAAGATCTCATCAAGGTGTTTTAGAAGTCACCCTGCGGGCAAGGCGCGTAGAAGGGCGAGGGTGGAGGGAGGACCACAAGGAGGCTGCCTTGGGCCAGAGGGGGAGCAGCGGGGGTGGAGGAAGTGGTTCCATTCTGGGTATATGTTGACAGCGGAGCCGACAGGAGTTGTTGATGGACCGGACGTAAAGTATGACCAAGGATGACGTTAAGGTCGACAGCAAGGTTTCTACTAGAGTAACTGGAAGAATGGAGTTGCCACCTTCCGAGAAGGGGAGGCTCCAGGAGGAGCAGGTTTAGGGGTCATATCCAGGCTCAGTGTGGGATATGGGGTTTGAGCCTGTTGGACTCCAAGTAGAGATCTGGGACAGACAACCGGATGTGGGCAACTGGAAGTTCACAGGAGGTCTGGGCTGGAGAAGCATGTTTGGGAGTCATCAGTAGGAAAATGGATGTCAGGCGCAGTGCCTGGCCCCGAGAAAACGGCCGATGACAAGTGGCCGCTGTGGAGCAGTATCTGTAGGACAAGGTTGATAGTGACATAAGTTCTGGGGAAGGGCCTGGAAGGCTGGAGGGGATGGGAACAGGGCCGACTTCGTGGGAGAAGTGCCAAGCTGCACCCAGAGAATGAGCTCAGTGTCAGCAGTCAGCTGGGAGGGTCCGGGCCACCAGCTTCTGGTATGTGCCTTTTGCTGACTGGGCCCCTCAGTGAGCTGGTGGGCTGAGCTGGGCTAGGCACAGAGCCCGAAGAACCATGGGGCTAGAGGCTGCCAAACAGGAGTCAGGCTTGAGGTCCCACTGAGGGAGGTGGGGGTCAAGGAAGAGTGCTGGTAGCTGGCCCCAGAGACAGAGTCGCCATGCCACACTGCAGGGCCAACATCTTTCTCCTGCACTTTCTTACTCTGGTCCGCACTTTACTTCCTCAGTCCCTGCGAGGGCTTGGAGCAGGCCTCTGTCCCAGGCACGCATGAACAGATGGGCCCAGAGACTAGCAGTTCCCTTGCACCCCGTGTCTTTTTGTGTCAGGCCTAACTGGGGAAGGGGCTCCTCCACCTGGGCCTGGGGTAGCACCAGCGCCTCGCAGACCCCTGCCTTTCTCCTCACTGAGCTGCTTCAGGGACACCCGTGTCTGCTCTCACCCTCTGCAGGCATGACCCACGAAGACATTGTCCAGGAATCCAAGAAATACTGGCAGCAGATGGAGGCTCATGCGGGAAAGGCCAGCAGCAGCTTGGTAAGGCCCAGGGTTGGCGTTAGGGGTGGGGTCAGTCCCATCCCTTTACCGGGACATCATTTCAGACTTACCAGAAAATGTAAAAATAGTACGAATATTTTTTTAAAAAAATAAAAAAAGAATTTGCATATGCAAATTCCCCAGATGTTAACGTTTTACTACATTCCATACTCGCATTTCTATAAGAAACATGTACACTTTTTTCTGAACCATTGGAGAGTAAGTTACAGATGTGATGTTGCCTCAGCCGCAACTACTACGGCGTGTATTTCCTGAAACCAAGAGCTCTTTTTACATGATAGACACGTGAGAGTTATCAACATCACGGAGTTAACATTGGTGTAATTGTTCAGATTCTGGCGTACTGTTCCTCAGATTTCGTGACTCGTCCCCAGATCCTGGGTAGCACACTGCATTTATCCATCGTGTCTCTTTGCCTTTAATCCTGAACAGTTTCTCAGTCTTTCTGCGTCTTTTGTCACTCTGACATTTGTGAAAAGCCGGTTGCCCCGTAAAAGGCCCATCCATCCGGGGTTGTCTGATGGTTCTTCGGACCTCAGGAGGAAGTTATGTTCTTTTTTGGTTCACTCATCGGGAGACACATCATCCGATTTGCCCCTTTACTGTGGTAATTCGGTAACATGGTTAAAGGTGCCTCTGCTGTGAAGGTTTCTCTACTGTGAAGTTATGTTTTTTTTTTTTTGGTTCACTCATCGGGAGGCACATCATCCGATTTGCCCCTTTACTGTGGTAACTCGGTAACATGGTTCAAGGTGCCTCTGCTGTGAAGGTTTCTCTACTGTGAAGTTATGTTTTTCCCCTTTGTAATTAATAAATATCTCTGGGGGATACTTGAGACGATGTAAATATTCTGTTGTCCTCAGACCTTCATCCACTGATCGTATCATCTCCCGTCCCTCTGGATCCTCATTCTGATCCTGAGAAAGTGAGCTGTGGCATTGTGGCATTTGCAGTTGGGGAAACAGAGGCTCAGAGCAGACTTGAGACATGCCCAGGGGCACACTTAGTGGGGTGAAGCCCGGGTTCTCTGACATCTTGCCCAGAGCTTGCTCTGCTCCCTCCCCCCCGTACAGTCACATTGCCCATGAGCTGTGTGATGGTGCTGGGTGGGAGGGACCATAGTCCTGCCTGCCATCTCCCAGGGTGGGTGTGAGGCTCATAGGAGGTGACCACGCTGCAGCTTGCTGAGTCCTCACTCTGCACTGGCCCCATGCTGTCCTGCCGCAGGAGGTTGGGATCATTGTAACTTAAGATAACAGTGGGGACAGAAGCAGGGCGCCTCAGGGCCCAGGAGATGGTGACCGTGATATGAGGCCTGCATGCCATCCACACATGACGGGCGACTCCCTCACCGTGCCACCTTGGGAGAAGGCCAGGCCCTGGCCCCTCCTGGTGTGGCAGGGGGCCAGGGGCAGGGCAGGCTGTCTGGGGTAGGCCTGGCCCAGGCTGTTGACAGGCTGCCCGTCCCCCGTGGGCCTCCCCTCTCTCCCTAGCCCCCTCATTCATGGTCCTCTTTCTTCCTCTCCTCTCCTCTGGTTGCTCCCCTCCTCTGCCCCTCTCTTGTTCCGTCCTCTTTTCCATCCCCCTCCCCCCATTTGGTTTATTTTTGGTCCTGGCCAGGAGCCGGACTAGGAAGCAGTGAGGGGCTCAGGCTGGACCTGAAGAATCGTAGAGAGAGAACACTGAGTTCTTGCCACTTCCTATTCCTCTAAACCCGCTTCGTCCTGCCCAGGTCTGCTGCCAGGGTCCCCAGGAATGGGTGAGGGCCTAGCTGCCCAAGGGTGCCATGATGGGCTTCGACCCTCTGTTGCCACCAGGAGCCCCAGCCTTCCCACCACGATAATACTCTCTGGACTGGCTAGGAAATAGAGCTTCTGTGCCAGCCTGGCCGTGCCATGGGCTTGAGGTGACTTGCTTGCTTGCCATCAAATGGCAGGACCAGTGGCACTGTGGGGCTGAGGACAAGATGCCAGGATGGAAGCTGCCGGTGCCCATGGCACAGCTGCGCCATCCCGCAAAGAAGCACGAGCACCCACCTCATGCTAAGTCCCCATCCTCAGGCCACTTACCCGTGGGTGGGTTTAGTGACCTCTCTGAGCCTCTGCGTAGAGTTGGGGAGTCACTTCCCACCAGTAAGTGATACTGGACCAGCCCATTCCAAGGTGCTGTGTAGCCCTAGCACTCTCGGAGGCCACCTGCGTGACAGACCCCACCTGTGTGACAGACCCCTGGTGCCCACAGCTTCACTCACCTCTCTCCGACAGGGCGCCTCACGGGCACATGGGCCCAGCACCTTTGACCTGCAGATGAAGTTTGTGTGCGGCCAGTGCTGGAGGAATGGGCAGGTGGTGGAGCCTGACAAAGACCTCAAGTACTGCAGCGCCAAGGCCCGGCACTGGTCAGTGGGCGCGGGCGGCGTGTGGGAGGGGTGGGGGCCACTCGAGCACCACAGAAGAGGAGGCTGGGCGCTCTGTGGAGGTCACGGAGCCCGAGGCTCTGCCCGAGGCCTCCCTAACTGGCCCCCTGTGCTGCCCTGCAGCTGGACCAAGGAGCGGCGGGTCCTTCTGGTGATGTCTAAGGCCAAGAGGAAATGGGTGTCGGTGAGGCCACTGCCATCCATTCGCAACTTCCCACAGCAATATGATGTGAGTGCCAGCGTGGGCTGCAGGGGCGGTGTGACCTTGGCTGGGGGTACCACGGGGCCCTGGGAGGGCTCGTTCTCCAGCTGGGGCGGTGACAATCCAGAGGGACCCAGGAGGCTCTCCCCTCACCCCACAGCTCTGCATCCACGCGCAGAACGGCCGCAAGTGCCAGTACGTGGGGAACTGCTCCTTCGCGCACAGCCCGGAGGAGAGGGACATGTGGACGTTCATGAAGGAGAACAAGAGTGAGTGGGCAGGGCGGGGCCCGGACCCGTGTCCCCTCACTGCCGGCACCCCAACTCATCAGCAGGCCCAAGAGCTCCTGCTGCCCCTCCCTTTGTCGCCCGGACCCTCCTCCGGGCGCCCCAGGCCCCGCCCTCTCTGGTCTTCTGTGGGCACCGGGCGGCCCAGCAGCAGCAGAGCCTGGGATGCCCTCAGCTCCCCAGGCTGGCAGGGGTTATGGGGCAGAATGGATGGAGCATCCCCTCCCCAGGCACTTTGTCCCCTATTTCCTACCAGTCCTGGACATGCAGCAGACCTACGACATGTGGCTGAAGAAACACAACCCAGGGAAGCCAGGGGAAGGGACCCCAATCAGTTCCCGGGAAGGGGAGAAGCAGATCCAGATGCCCACGGATTACGCCGACATCATGGTAATGACGCCTCGTGCGTGTTGGTGCCGTGGTCTGGGCCAGAGTGGGGACAGGCAGAGGGGAGGGGTTCAGCCCCCGCGCAGAGGCGTGAGGAGCGGGCACCCATGGTGGCTGTGCCCCCAGATGGGCTACCACTGCTGGCTCTGCGGCAAGAACAGCAACAGCAAGAAGCAGTGGCAGCAGCACATCCAGTCCGAGAAGCACAAGGAGAAAGTCTTTACGTCCGACAGCGATGCCAGCGGCTGGGCCTATCGCTTCCCCATGGGCGAGTTCCGGCTCTGCGACAGGTGCTCTGGGGGCCGGGCCCGGGTGGACGGGCAGTGGGCCTGGGGAGATGAGGCGGTGGCTCACTCGGGCTCTTCTTGGCCCGGAGGTGGTGCACAGGGTGGTGTGTGCGAAACAGCTGCTCCTGGGTGTGAGAAGCTGGGGGCGGGGTGGCACTCGGCCAGGCCCATCCCTTGCAGCCCTGGGTCAGGTGCTAGAGAGGGTGGGGACGTGGCCGCTCTCAGCAGGACTGAAGCTGCCGGGAGAGGCTCACGGGGGGCGGGGGAGGCTAAGTGGCTAAGAGCTGGCTCGAGGTCCAGCAGCCTGTGTGGGCAGGGCACAGGGCTTGGGCAGTGAGCCTCCTGCTGCCCTCCACAGGCTCCAGAAGGGCAAGGCCTGCCCAGACGGGGACAAGTGCCGCTGCGCTCACGGGCAGGAGGAGCTCAACGAGTGGCTGGACAGGCGCGAAGTGCTGAAGCAGAAGCTGGCCAAGGCCCGCAAGGACATGCTGCTGTGCCCACGGGACGACGACTTTGGCAAATACAACTTCCTGCTGCAAGAGGATGGCGACGCTGCCGGTGCTGCCCCGGAAGCCCCCACTGCTGCCCCTGCCACCGTCGCCGGGGAGTAGCGCCAGGTCTTGGTCCTGAGTCAAGTCCTAGGGTCAGGGCTGGGGGGTGGGGACAGAGGGCCTAGTAGAAGGGCCAGGGCAGGCCAGGACTGGGGGCGGAGGGCCACCCTCACCAGGCAGCCCCCAGCCCTCGGGGCCGCCCATCCCGTCTGCCCCCACCTCCCCAGTGTGCAAGCCCAGGTGCACGTGCTGCAGCCACAAGCCGTCCCAGGGTCCTCATCCCGCCGAAACCCTGGGCAGGCCCTCCCCCACCCCCGGCGCTCCTGGTTGGGGAAGGAGGGGCCCGGCTGACCCCTCCAGCTTCAACTACAGCTTTAACTTCAGTCTGCTCCTAAAGGGGGCCCAAAGCTCAGGGTTGGGGAGCCTGGGGTCCCCACTTGAATCTGCAGCAGGAGGGTCCTCCCTGCCCCGCCCTTACCCCACCTCCACCTCCCTGGGGGCAGATCAGGACACAACAGAGAACTGGAGGCCCCAATTAGCTTTAAAATGCAACTCCAGAATGGAGCTGGGGACACTGTACTGGTCACTTACCTTCTGGGGCCTCAGTTTCCCCTCTGGTTAGAAGAGCGGGAGGGGCTGGGCTGGATGACCGCTGGAGTCTGGCTCTCTAGTGAGGCCACCAGCCCAGCCCCTCTCCCTCTTGGGCCACTGAATATAGATTGTAGATCCTCAGAGCCTTCAGAAATGACCCAGCCCAAACGTCCATTTTGCAGATGGGAAAACTGAGGCCTAGAAGGGAAGAGTGACCTGTCCAGGGTCTTCAGCTCATGGCCTGAGGCGGAGCTGGGGTGCAGACTCGTGATCAGGAGACTGAGAGCCACTCATCAGCTGGAGCCTCCAGGCTCTGAGCAGGAATATGCCAGTCTGAATACAGCTGGGGTCCCAGGCAGTGCCACCCAGGGACTAGGGAAGGGAGGCTCAGCACCCATGGAGGGACAGTCCCCTCCTGAGGATGGTTGTGGGGAGTGTAGCAGCAAAGGTTACTTCCCCATGCCGCTCAGGGACAGGTGATAAGGAAAGGTGGTAATGGACAGGGCACCCATGGGCTTGGGTTCTGCATGAGGTACTAGGGGGAGAGGGATGCAGAGAGAACACATGACCCTGGGCACCATGGGCCAGTGCAGGATCAGACGCACATCCCTCTTTTTGGGGGACCCAGCATGGTCTTCCCCTTTTTCCCTAGACCTGGACATACAATTATGACCATCTGTCCTGGCCCCTCCCTGCTCCCCAGCCCTAACAGCTGCCTAGGACCCCAGCTGATCCCCAGCTCCTGTCCCCACCCACCAGTCCCCCCTGTCCCTGTTCCCCTTGTCTGATATCCGTGTGCACCCCGTCCTCTCCACCCCACCCACTGTGGGCAGACCCAGCCTTCCCTGGTTCCCTAGACATTCCAGAATGCCCCACACCATTGGCACAAGAAGTGGGGCCCCCCGGAAGGAACTGGGGAACAAGGCTGGAGTCAGGGGGTGAGATGGAGAGCATAAATACCCCTTATTTCTCCTCAAGCAAGGATTGATAGTGTGCGATATGACGATGGGCACCCCAGGCCGCAGAACCCTGTTCCCCCTTGGCGCCACTGCCAACCTTTTCCCCAGTAACCGTGGCATGCATCCCTTCCTCCCGCTGCCCCTTCCCCCGGCAGGCCAGCACTGCAGAGTTTGGGTGTTGGCGGTGTGGCTGGAGGGGAGACGAGACCACACCCAAGGTGGGGGCCGGTGGCCGTGAAATGTCAATGACACTTATTTTCCCTGATCCGTGGTGTTGCAGTCTGTCGTCACCAGCCTTGTTTTTAGTGTGTATATATGTCGCCCCCGTGATGCATATATACACAGGTATTAAATATATCGCTCTATATAATATTATATATGTGTGTGGTATCCAACGAATCGCTTCTAATGAGGGCTAAAGATAAAGAATTTGGCCAGAAAATGCAGCCATCCTGGTGTAATTAGGAGGGATTTTCAGGGTCATCAAGGCATTTCCGAGGATTCCGGGACTGGAGCCATGGTCAGGTGATTGGGGCAGAAGTGGCCCTGCCTGAGCCCAGCTCTGCCTGGGGGCTAGCTTCCAGACGACCCAGCCTAGTGGGGAGAGAGCAAGAGTGCTCAAAGAAGAAGAAATGATTGATGTTTGTCTCCCACCAAGGGAAGAGGATTAAAGTCCAGAGTTTTCTTCAGCCCATTATCTCTCCAGGGGCCCTTGACATCTGGGCCTTCCTGGCCTGGCCAGAGCTGGGCCCCCGAGCAAGAGGCAGGGAGGGGTCGTGGGGAACAGGCAACAGGAGTACACTTTGAATGATGAGGATAATTATTTCAGTCGTGACCCTGACTGGGAGGCTCAGAGAGTGGAATCGGGCCTGTGCCCACCGCCATCAGGCAGGGATGAGACATCATGGGGAACATGGTGTCCCTGGTGTGAGTGCCCCTTTGCGGTGGGCAAAGAGGGATGCTGCATTTCTCAGCTGGGCAGTAATCAATTTAAGGGTCCTTTTAAAATGTCTGTGTATTAAAAATTTAAGAATACCACACTTTAATATTAAATATTCATAAGGTCTAGTATCTCGATAATAATGTAGATGTTTTAATAACAATTTTTGTCCTTCTTAAAATAAAATGAAAGAAACTTGCTTCTTTTAGCCTTTGTTCTAGAAAATAAACGTGTGCATTTTGACCTCTGTCCCCAAGGTGTCGCTCCTGTTCCTCCCTGCCTGGCACTTGCACTGTGGGGCCTGGTCTGCTCTATACTCATGCAGCAGAGTTGGCCTGCACTGGGCATGCCTCAAGGCAGACATTCCAAGGGGTGAGGGGCAGGTCTGTGTCCCTTTGTAAACAGGGCAACTCAGCTGACCCCAGCTCAGGCAGCACCTCTGCTGACAGGGACAAGTTGTGCTCTGCACAAGTGGCCCCAATAGTCACCCTTTGCTGGCTCTCATGCAGCCTGCCTGCTCTCAGCCCACCTAGTGGGCTGTCCAGTGGTACCCACACCTCCCTGCTTTTACCATGTGCACCATCCTGGGTTCTAAAGGGCTGGCTCTGTACCCTTTCTGCATGTGGCTTTCCCAGAAAGGTGAGGGGTCATGCTGTGCTTTGGAATATGATCCCAGCTGCAACCCAGACTGTTCTCTGGGCCCAAGGGAGATCCAAGTCACATGGGCTTCCTCATCTTTAAAAAGAGACCGTGTATTAGATCAAGAACTTTCAGTAGGGTACACCTGTATCTGCTGGGGTGGGAAATACTTTCTGAAATCTCAGATTGTATGGGGGGTCCTGAAGGGAGGGGCTGCACGTGTTCAAGTGCAAGCTCGCCAAACAGCTTCAAACGGTAGTACGGCGTGGCCCCAGGAGCGGAGGTCCAAAGCCTGTGACTTCCGAGGACGGAATCATGTGGGCCTGGTGTGCAGTCGGGGCTCAGATGCTTGATAAATGAATGACCAGATGAGTAAGAGCAGCAGCGACTGGATTGAGCGCCTGTGTGCCAGGCACTGTGGATGCAGCACGGCTATTCTCCAGAACAACCCTGCATGTGTGGTGTCCACATCTTACAGCCAGAAATCGTTCAGCGACGGTTCCCAGGACCCTCAGAAAGGAGGCAGAAAAAAGACTGAGAACCACTGGGAACTGGCCTGATTTGCAAAGGTCCCTTCAACGCTGACATCTGGGGTTCTCGGCTCCCCTGACCACATGGTGAAAAACCAAAGCGGCACGGCGAGGTACTGCTCCCGAGGGAAAGCGCAGGCCCACCCTCAGGCTGCAGCGGTCGTGGGCCTGCATCAGGGCCTCCTTTGAATCTGGAAAATCAGAGAGTGAGACAGGCAGGACGTCCATGAACCCAGTGGACTAAATTCTTAAATTCTCATAAATTCTAAATCTCTCCTGGTCCTCATTTAGCTCAGGTTGGTAAGCGCTGAGCAGCCACCCTATCTCAGATCCTGGGGATACGAGATTTCCTGAAGAATCATGGCTTCCCTTGACCCCACAATCTGCTAGGGGAGACAGACCTACAGGGAAGAGTAGGAGTGTAGGGTGATGTGACAGGCTTGGGGGTGGGACAGATACTCCAGGTGCCAGGGAAGGTGCCTCCTCCAGGCTGGGGAGCCAGGGCGGGCTTCCTGGAGGAGATGATGCTGGAACTGAGGCTTAATAAGACTGTGTCATTTGTAATCAATGTGCACCTACTGTTGTGCATCTTGCTTTTTCTCTGTTACATTTCGCATGTGTGTCTCCATGCCCTGATGTAACCTAGATATTTACAGTCAGTGGCTGACACTTCATTCGTCAAGGGACCAGAGTTGGTTTGAGCAGCCCCTAGTTCCTGAATGCAGGCCTGTTTCTGGTCTTCGTTCCTGTGAACAGGGGCTGCAGTGACCACCACCACCGTTGTACCCCTGTGGGCTCCTCCCTGCCTCTGGGGCCATCTGGGCAGGAGGGGTGACTGTCAGGGACTTGCGAATATGAGTGGGCGTTGTACCCCTGTGGGCTCCTCCCTGCCTCTGGGGAAGCTGCTTCTGAAAAGAGGCCACCTGGGCAGGAGGTGTGACTGTCAGGGACTTGCGAATATGAGTGGAGACAGCTCTGCACCTCTACAGAGAGCCTTGAGGGCTCTGCTAGAAACTGCATCCACATGCCCACAACCAGGGGAGCCATCTACAGCAAGACTTGAGCCAGTATACCCAAGAAGTACAGACGGTCACGACACATTGGCCACTTGGCCTTTCCAAGTGTCCCCAGGCTTATGCGTGGCCTCATCTCCCCCTACCTCTGCCCTTCCTAGCCACTAGACCCAGCAACCTGCTGATGTGGCCCTTGTGTGACCACAGGCGATGCTACAAGCTGGACCCCCTGGATGCAGAGTGGGGGTGCCAGGTGGACTGACACAGTGGATTGAAAATTCCTTAAGAGTAGGGACTTGCCTGGCCCGGGTTGGTTACTTAATTTTGAATTCCTCTAGAGGTCGAGGCAGTGCCAGGTATGCAGTAAGTGCTCGTTCGCGGTCGGAGAGGCTTAGTACATTTGTACATTGAAAGGGGTCTGCAGAGAGCTCAAGGGAACGAATCTCCGAGAATGAAATGTCATGCGGCAAGTGGGTATTTTTGAGATAGGTAGGGTACTTTCTGTTACCTCAAATCACACTCTGCGGGCACCTACCCACTCCACCTTTGAGGTAAGCCTGTCTTACACACGAGATTCTTGGAACAAGGAATGGTTAATGGAGCCCAGCCTCAGTCAGCCACAGCCTGCAGATCGAGGCAGCTTGCACGCCAGGCCCACTGTACCCTCACACCTGGGGGCACAGAGGCAAAGGGCACCAGAAGGATAGATATGAAATTAAATGTGTTACGAGGAAGGGGAGTGGGAGGAGGGACAGGGGTAGAAATCACATTTCTAAAGGTGAAGTCCTAGGGTCAGGGGTGGGGGGTGGGCTTTTGAGCTTTGAGCCATGTGCTGTTTTTTGTATTCAAAAATTGAAATTAATTTTAATTATTTTGGGAAAAGAACATGGTTTGAGAGGGCTATGAGGGAGAGACGAAGAGTAACTAGAGGACAAGGTGAGGACTGTTAGGAAGGGGTGTGGCCAGAAGGCATTCTTAGAGTATGTCTGATTCTGTGCAAAATGAGATTTTGGAAAGCTGCAAAAGACTGCATAGAAATCAGCTATAGTCCAAGGAAGCAACTGCTTATTGCATCCAAATGGGAGTGTCACAGACACAGAACCAGAGCTGAAGGGAAATTCAGAGGTCACAGCGTTCACTAGTTTCAGGCTGGAGACCCAGAACTGCACTGCTTGTTCACGATCTCACATCACTGCGGAAGCACCAATAGCAGACGCCCCCTGGCCAAGTCTGATGTTGGTCTTCGGTGGAGGGTGACATATAGAACTTTGGCTTCAAATACACATCCAAGTGGCCTGGGGACCACGGAGGCCATTGTCCTGGTGAGAGGGCCAGGGAGGGGACTATAGCAAACAGCCAATTGCCACCAAGGTTCCTAGGACAGGGTGGGAAGGACATCCTCCAGGACACACCTGGGCCAGGTGCGTAGAGCTGCCCCCTTTCGGTAGTGACTGTTCTGCCTGCCCTCCAGTGCGTCTGCTGGCACCTGCCTCGTCTTCTCTCCGGAAGACTAGAGGGACCCCAGCCTGCAGGTTTTGTCCCTTCCCTTAGGACAACAGACTTGAGGCTCTGCAGACAGTGGAGAGCCCAGTTACATATGCCACACGCACATCCATGTGCCTCGCAGGGCACAGGTGCCTCAGCATCGAAGCACACCAACAGCCCCCAGAGGCTCACAAGCCCGTGGGGACTGTGCGATGCACTGTCATGTGCCTGTCTGTGCCAACACAGTTCTTCCTCTGTGCCGAGCTGCCTGACGGGCCGGGGTCTCAAGTCCCAGCCCGAGGTGGTTTCCCTGGCAGGCCCTGCTCTCCCTTGCATCAGGGCTCCTCCGCTGAGTGTGCCTGAGTGTACAGTGCACGCTCGCTGTGGGCGTGGAGCCGGCTCAGTGTTCTCACCTGGCAGGCCCTGCTTATGGCTCCCAGCCTGGGGGAGAACTTCCCTTTGCAAAGTTAGATAACAGGCCGGGCTCTCTGTCAGAGGATTGGCGCGGTGGCTCCACGTGCTGCAGCTGGCACAGGGCCAGGCCCGCCCTGCTAGGCAGCGGGAAGGGAAGGCCTGGCTGCAGCCGGAGCTGGCAGGTGGCCGAGCTGGGGGTGGACGGGCGGGCTGGGGTCTGTGCTGCCCATTGGCTGCCTCGGGCTCCTGCCCCGCCCGCCTCCAGAGCTTGCGGCTCCTCAGCCAGCTCCTGCCTCTACAGCTGCCTCTGAACTCCCAGAGCAAGCTCCTCCTGCCATGTCGAGCTGCGACCGGATCGGAGTGGCCCCGGCCATGGACATGCCTGAGGTCCTCAAGTCTCTCCTGGAGCACTCTCTGCCTTGGCCAGAGAAGAGAACAGGTAGGAATGGAGGTGGCCTCCATTGGCTGTGAACCCAGGTGCCTAAGGGGTGGGGGCAGCCGGAGCACAGTGGCAGGACAGGCATCTCAAGCTAGGGAGGGACCCCTGGTCCCTTCCTGGGCAGGAGGAAGGTCTGGGGTGCAGAGAGAGACACGGTGGGGAGTGCCACTGCAACTCAGGAACTATCCCCTAGGCCTGCGAGCTTGGGGAAGCCATGGCCAGTGTGTGGCCACTGACAGGTGCTGTGCTCATGTGGGACAAGGATGGGACCAGAGGGCTCGGCTGAGAAAATGCACTGGACGCTGATGCTTATTAAGCTCCCTCGCCGTGCATGCTGAGGCGGCAGAGACTGGCAGACTGGAGACTCGGGTAGTCGCCTGTCTGGAGAAGAGGCTTTCCTCCATGCTCCTGCTTCAGCTCCCGCTCGCTGGAGGGCTGAACCCATGGATGGGAGGGAAGCTGTTATGTAACAGAACTACAGGCTCGAAGCCCGGGTTCCTAGGATACCACGGGCAAACATGGGGCGAGGCAGCCGGCGGAGGAGGGCGTGGACCCTGGGGCAGAGCCAGCAGCCAGGCCCAGGTGTCTCCCAAGTCCTGCCTGAGAAACATAAGGCCATGGCTAGCTTTGAGGGACACCTACTCAGGATATCCACCGCCCCCCCACCCCGATTAAATATTCCTCCCAGTCCCCTCTGTTCTAAGACATTGGGGGCTCACACCCAGTTCCTCATCGCTCAAACTCCCCAGGTCCCTATAAAGGAGCCCAGCTGTCCTCTGCTGCCCAAATCTGACTTAGGAGCCCAGTGTCCCCTCAGGAGACGCCCCTCAGGCCTCTCCCTCACAGACATCTGGTGTTTCTCATTACCAGGTAGCCCTGGTTGCCCCCGCACAACTTCCTTCCGCTGGACCCTCAGCCCACTCCAGAACTCTGGAGCCTGGGGACAGATGCCCATGGGGAGCTGGGCTCAGGGAAGGAGGGGTGGCAGGCTCTGCTCCCTGGAGAGACTGCCTGAGGGCAGAAGGTGGGTCCCAGAGCTCATGGCAGGGTCCCTGTGGGCTCTCGCAGAGCTCTGGGCTCGGCCCCTCAGCCCACACCCTGCGGTTTCTAATGCAATCCGGGCCACCCTCAGAGGCGGGCATCACAGAAGGAGTTCCCGTGCCCGCCTAGCACTCAGGACCCCAGCTGCTCAGCAGAAGCAGCCCATCTCCTCAGGACACCCTCAACTCAGCCTGGTGGATGAGCCACAGCTGACTTTTTCTTGCCATCTCTGATCGGCCCGTGTAGGCTGATGAAACTGAAGCCCTTACAGTTAGAGGTAGGGGGTGGGGGCTCTCTTCAGTCCAGGGTGCACAGGGACTGGCTGGGCTGCCCGCGGCTTGTAGGGACAGCTCGTGGCTGGCCGGGAAGGGTTCTTGGGGGCAACTCAGGGCGCTGCTCCTCCGATGAGGATGACAGAGCCTTTGAAGTGTGGCAGCAGCTGCTGGTCGCTGGCTCCCAGCTGGTGCACAGAACCCCGCGACAGCCGGAAAGTCCCCATCGCACACTGTGGATGGGCAAAGTCGGGTCCAGCGCTGAGAGGACTTGCCCAAGGTCTCAGGCAGAACTGTGCCAAGAGCTGGCAAGCTCTGACTGAGGGTCAGCTGGTCTGGTACAGCGGGGTTGGTCAAGTGGCGTGGGCCAGTGTCTCGGTCACCTCCTCTGAGCGGTATCACTTCTCCATGTGGTATCCCACTGAGAGGCAGAAGCATGAGGCCCTGTGGGATTGACAGATACCAATAGGTAGATAAAATAAGGTGTCAGTGCATCCCCCAAAGACTGCACTCACATCGCTGCCCCCAACCCGCAATCAACACTTTCCAAAGCTCCCAGATTCTCTAAATCTTTTATGAAAATAAAGGTATCTATCTGAAAAGCAATACACTTTGGTGGAAAGAGCACACACAGCACGCAGAACTAGAATTCCCAGTAGTCATGTAGCAAGCACTTTAAAAGTTCCGGATGCCGCAGCTTCCCTCCCTGTGTCCCCGACTCTGGCTTCCAGCTGTGGGAGGAAGACAGCTGAGGTGCCAGTTGCCCTGGCAACAGTTGCCCTCAGGATGGCTTGCCCTTTGCTTTGGTGTAAAAGCGGTGGTTTCTCGTGGGGGACTGAGACCTGTTAACAAACTCCTCAGTTTCTCCAGCTCAGTGGCTGTGCTTCAGCACACATTTAGGTCACGTGCTGAGCGTACCTTGGGTCCATGAGGGAATTTCGGAGGGAAGTGGGAGGGGTGTGAGAGATTCCAGGTGTGCTCTCATGAGACTCTGCTCTCCCTGCAGCCTCTCCTTCCATTTTCTAGTCTCGAGGACGCTCCCTGAGACCAGCCTTGGGGTGTCTTCCTCTCTCTCTTGCCTCCTACCCCAGCCTGTGCAAACAGACCTCCACCTCTTTCCTGACCGGGCTCCAGCCTCCCTCGGCTTCAGATTACAATGGCCACCTGGCAGCCCCTCACTCTGGGCCACTAGTTTGACCAACTTTCCTGTGGGCAGAGAAATCTACGTCCAGCAAAAGGGTGGGTCTGTACGCCAAGCCCTGACTCAGTTTCAGGGGAACTGCCTCTGGGCCCTGATCTCTCCACTGTTCTTACTGTTTCTGCTACTGCTCTTTCTTCCCAGGATCCTCTTACAAAAGGCGATTCTGTTCCAGACCGCTCACTCTCTCACTTTCTTCTCCAGCTTCTTTGAAGTGTGGCAGCAGGTTAAGAGAAAGACCCCTCTTCTCTTAACCATACTGTTAGCTCTTTATACCCATTCCTTTCTTACCCTATAGAGCCTTGGCTGTGCTCAAAGGCCAATCCCCCATCTTTCTGCCAGCTTCGGTCACTCAGGCCTCCTTTCTAGGGGGCCAGGCAGCATGAAACACACTCCAAGGTTGAACGAGGCCTTCACCTGTTCAGTGGAGCAGGCAGGGTCCTCATCTCGGGGAGCTCCTAATTTGACACTGATGGGTCACCCGGCAAGGTATTCTAGACATTCCTCTTTCTCTATCCCCATCTGTAAAAAGTGGAGAAAGAATACCTGATTCCTAAGCTTGTTGCCGGGATTAAATGAGTTATCCCACGTGAAAGCGTTTGCAAACTGTGAAGTCTCACGCTATACTCTCTGTGAAGGGCAAAGAGCAGCTGGTCCTTGCCTTATGCTCCTTCCATCGACATCATATTTGCAATCTGACCCTCATTCCCTCCTTCCTTTGAAGCTTGTCCTTAAAAGAACTGAATGTCGCAAGTTTGTGCGACACACGTAGGGCCACCTCCTCGGAAACTTGGAAACGTGTGTTGAGGGTCTTGGGGGCATGGTGCCATTGGCCCTTCACCAAACCGGACAGCCCAGCTGGAAGGGCCAGAGACAGAGCTGAATGATAACAGGCTGGCTCTCAAGGGGACTTGCTGGGACAGAGGCAGGGGTGCAGAGGAGGGGCCTGGGCAGCCTCCTCTTGGAGGACTGAGCTAAACAGGAGAGGGTGGACTTGGTGAAGCCAGGGCCATCCTGAATGTGGCCTTGGTAAGATACATGTGGTCACCTCCACTCCCAGTAACCAGGCAAAACAGAGAAGTCCTCAAGTTTGCTTGCAGGGAAGAGGAGTGTGAGGGGGCAGTCCTTATGCTGGAGGCTTAGCTGCTTTAGTCCTTACCATCTACTAAATGGCGCGGAAACCCTCAGGGCCAGTATGCAGGCCAGCCTCTCTCCTTGTTCCCATTGGAGGGGTTCAGCTGTCTTCTCTACCTGTCCCATCACCAATGAAACAGGAGAAACTCCTTGTCACTGGCTGCCAGAAACTGATGGCAGTGTCCAGGAGCGCCCCCTTCCAGATGGCATTGCATCTTGACGGGCCTGACCCAAGGCCAGGTTGCTCAAGGAATGAACCCTAAATTGAATGACCACTGTTTTCTGAGCATGAGCTGGGAGTTGTGCCAAGTGCTTTGACATCACGCCTGTGAAATGGCTTTGCAAGGGGAGTGTGATCATACACTCTACAGATGAGCAGACTGAGGCTCAGAGAAGGGAAGGCCACATAGTTGTCAGGGGTTCCAACTCAGCTCCGCCGTCTCTGCCCACGGGGTGCTGGAGCCTCTGGAACCCCGTCTCAGGGTAGCACCTCTTTGGTCATCCATTGCTTTTTCAACATTTGTTCATTGAGTGTTTGCTACGCTTGTGGTCTGGAACTGATGCAGGACAGGGCAAATTTCCCCAAGTGACAGGGAGACCAAGCCCAGTACCAAGAGAAGAAGGGGGTCCTTCAGCAGAGGGTGTAGAAAGAATTCAACACGCATGCCAAAGTTGGAGTCAAAAGGCAAGTATTAGAAAAGAGATAACACTCCACAGGGTGTGGTCTCCTCTCAGAGGCAGAGAGTGAGAGGGACAGGGAGAGAGAGACAGAGAAAAGGCACTGAGAGGGACCCTGAGTGTTCTGAGGATTCAGTTTGTTATTCTTTAGTTCCCATGTCCTTTGATAAGGACATCCAGTGAGGAAGGGGAAGAGTATGTAGAGTTAAAAGGTAAGAATATGTAGCATGATGAAAGGCCTGCTGGCAGTTCCCAGCCTTGAATCCTTAGGTTCCCCGTGGTTTTAGCCGAGTGACTCTTGGTGCCTGTTCCCCTTTGCAGGTGTGGAGAACGGGCTGGTTAGCAATCCCAGCAGAAACCTTCCTTTGTTCTGAAGGTGTCCTCCTAGTCAGGCTACAGGGCCGATGAGCATATTGCAGTCTCTGATTGTGGCTTGATTAAAATTTTAATTCTCTTGCATCCTCCCTACATTAGCATGAATGAGACACACAGGGCCTGCTCACCTGGCAGTTGCATTCCATAGGGAAAAAGCCGACAATAGCAATCAGGAGCCAGGGCTAGCCTCTCAGAGGGAGTGAAACTTAAATCAAGGCCTAGGTGAGGAAGAGCCAGAATTTTAAGGCTGAGGGAACAGCTCCTGCAAAGGCCCTTTCCTGGGGCAGGAAAGACACACGTGT